GTAGAGATCGTCTTTACACTTAGCTTCTGTTGAGTTGGATCTTCTAGGACATTCTTGACCGTAGCTGGTTGATGGGTGTTTGTATTCTCCTTTGGAACGTGGTGGGAGACTTTCCTTGGATCAAGACAATAAACTTTCTTTGGCTTAGCCTTTGGATTTGGCCTTGTTGCTAGAATCCATCTCCTTGGGTATAAATCTTTATGATGTACTCCCGATTAACTTCAGCAGCCTCCACAAACACTTCACGCAATATTTGTTTCATCTATTCCCAAGAAGCATCTGGTACATCATACTCAAGTCGAATATATGCATCTTGTTCCCATTGCCTAAAAGCGTCCTCGGTGAGAGTATCTTCGGCATAAGACGTTTTTTCCTCCTCAGAGATTTGGTTGGCTTGCAGCCAATCCTCCATATCTCTTGCCCGTCTCAAGTAAGCGTATGGTCCTTGGTGATGACCCGCAAAACATATGTGATAGGGTTTGAAATCTACTTCATCCTCCGTTGAATACTCCCATGATTCAGATTGATTAGTGTTGTTGAAGGACTCGACCTCCTCTTCAAACTTTGATTCATCACTAAAGCTATCTCCTGGTTCAGCCTTGTTGTTCCAAGGTTCTTCATCAAATGGATCAGTTTCTACTAAACTGATTTGAGAGTCGGTTTCTTCACACCACGGCCTGTCTTTATCGAATTCTCTTTCATAATTCTCATCGTAGTCTGATGAGTAGTTTTCGTAATTATTTGATGTGGTGTAGGAGATGTAACTCTTGGCGTCATGGTCTAGTGGTTCAGGTTCTTCTTCCTCACGTTCTAGCTCATTTTCATAACTGATTTCAGAATCAGTTTTATCACCCAACGTTTCTTCTGTGGAATTTTCATGCCAGGATTCACCTTGGTGATTATCCTTTTCTTCAAAGTAACCTTCAGGTTCAGAATGTTCTTCACCAAACTTTAGTTCTTCATGTTCTAACCCATCGAAACCATTTGTGAGACTAGCCTCCACACACCATGATTCAGCTACACGTCTATCCTCTTCATATAAACTGATTTTGGAATTAGTTTCTTCTTCCCACCAATTCTGGTTTGATTCTTCTTCCCATGAGTTATTTGGTTCTTCACCCCAATCGACCTCATAGGTGTTAACCTCACTCCTTTCATCCTCTTCGTCTTCATAATCCATGGATTCGAGTTTTTGGTTGTATCTTGCAAGAGAAAACAAAGGAAGAACTCATAAATTGTATTCAATGTGGACAAATAAGGAAAAAAAATCAAAATAAAACACAAGAAAGGAAATATGTATTGGTTTTCAGATTTTAATGGAAACAACAACTTAAAAAAAATATAAAATAAAGGAAAACAAAATTTACTTTTCTTTTCTGATTTATGAAAACGAAATTTCAAAAGAAAGAACTAAAATTTTTATTTGGTTTTTAGGAGTTTGGCAAAATAACAGAAAAATGGAAGAAAAAAAGGAAATCGAACAAAGAGAAATATGTTTTTTTATATGGATTTTTCTTTTAATAAAAATGAAAGAAACAAAACAGAAACAAATTCTTATTTGGTTTTATTTTTTTTTAATATAAAACAAGAACAAATGATTTGCAATAAGACATTTTTATGAGTTTTTTTTTTTAAATAAAAACTGAAATAACAATGAAATAAAATACTAAGATGGATAGATATAACCTATGATAGAAGCTTTTGAGCTCTGATACCAAATGATATAAGATTGCAATCACTCCAACTTAAGATCACTCAATGATCAAAGATTCCAAGCTTAATAACTCGAGGAAGATCGATGGAAAGAAGATAGAGATGATGTTGATGATAAGTGATAGTTTGATTGACTCTCTCAATCCGTGGTGATTGACTCTCCAATCTATGAACGAACAAGTTATTTGAATCACACAAACAACTATATTCGTGACTTCTAAAGAATAGAAGTAAACCTCACACTTGTATTCAAAAGAAAGAACAATTCTTCAAAGAAACACAATTTGAAAGAAAACGAAAATACTTGATTAAATTGATTGAAAGTGCTTTACAATGAGACCTAAACTGAGCTTATATAGGCTCTATGTTCAACGGTAACAAGGTTTAAAACAATAAAAAAAATCGACAGAATTAAAGGTAGAGAGCCATTAGCTTGGGGGAGAATGTAGAGTGTCTAGGTACATTCTGGTTGATATATGAGAGACCTTCAATTCATGCCTAAACTTCATAGAATAGAGTCGTTGGAGATTAAGTGCTATCAGGTCTAAATAAGGCAAGTTGGGCTTTGGTATATCATGAATGATCTCGTGTGCTCTGATGCAGTTATGGTTGATTATGGAGATCCTCTGGTTCATGTAGAGTGTCTTTAAGTCATGGGAAAACCAGAAAGGAAAGAGTTGTTGTAGTGTGAACCCCTTGAATGCCCTTATGTCCGAATAAGGAAAGTCTTAGTGAATGAGTAGCCACGATTGAATCCTCCTGATCCAATGGCTGAGAACGAAGCTTGATATGTTATTTGGAGCCTCTAGTTGTAGTAGAGACTCGTCTGGTCGCCAAATATGTGTTTGAAGACTCTTAAACCTTGAAGGTTCCAAGTAAGGCAAGTCAAGGAATGTCCGGTTTAGAAAATTAAAAACTTTCTCATCTGAACTTGTATTGGTATGAATCCAACTCCCTGACATTCTATGATGAATCAAAATCGTAGAGAAAATCAGTTTGTAGCTTAATTCCTTATGATCTGGTCTAAATCCTTCACTGAATGCACGGAGGTTCGAATCGGGTAAACCAAAAATAACCCGATTAGTAAATTGAATAACTCCTTTGTTTGAACTCCATTTGATCTAATTCTTCTTTGAGATGCTCTTTCATTGAGCTGCGAATATTTTATTTCAAGTGCTGAATCGTTTTGGTTGATCTGATATGCTTCGAAGAATGAACATATGTCCTTGTCGGGTCTGATTAGCGTTGTGCATCCGGTTTGATTGAGCATTGGTTTAGCTGCTGCTTTGATGACCTCATCACCACGTGAG